TCGCAGGCAAAATAAGTGCACTTCCCTGAGGATCAATAGGAGAACATGGCTAAAATGTTAAACTCCTCCATCTTTGGAAGTACGTAAGAGGGAGGTGCAGAAGGTGAGAAGATGCAATGATTGGACTTGGACTGCAAAATTGCTCCTCTCACTTTTTATTTAATCACGTGTCTCTCTGCTTTTTCACGATTTTAGAAATTAGATTCAGTACTTGCACCCCTAACATAAGGTACATGGATCCTCATCTCCTACCTCTTGATTGCATCACGGTTTGTCAATAACAGTCCCGGATCGCTTGCAATGCAAGACTACTAACGGACTAATTGCTCAAAAACAAAGGAAAAAAAAACATGAATGTTAAACTTGTTTGGTTTTTAGAAAAGAATACCTTTTTCAATTGTTTATCAATAAATAATGAGACTAGGAGCCATCATAAGCTAGCCTAATGACCAAAGTCTCGCCCCCAAACTAGAATGTCTAAGATTTAAACATCGTTTTTGAAGTCATATGTTTCTATGGTATAAAAAAGCCTAGTAATTTTTACCAAGTATTATACTTAAAGTCTAGGGTGAATTGCACCCACGCCCCCTAAAGTTAATTACTTAAATACTCAGATCCTTTTATATTTAAAATATTACACACAGACCCCTTCAAATTTGTACGCTCGTAACATTTAGACTCATGTCGTCAATGTCCATTAGTAAATTATACTTAAACCTCTTTAAGCTTGTAGGCGTGTAATATTTAGATCCTTAAGTTTAAAATATTATACGTAGATTAAAAGTATTCCAATCAAAGATAGAATATTAAATATTTTAAATTTTACAACTAAAATTTCATGTTCTATTATGACATTTATTGAATTAAAAATCAAAATCAAAATTTTTCTTAAAAAATTATAATTGATATACAACTATACTATACTTTAGAATTTAATTTAGTCATTTAAACAACCAAATTAAATTAGCAAAATTATCTCAATTAAAATTAGAAGATATTGTGTTTATTACAGTTTGACCCCTTATTTAATTTTTTGATTTTATTTTAATAGATAGTATAATTATATACTAATTACGATTTTTTTTAAAAAAAAATTGATTTTTGATTTTTGATTTTATTTTAATAAATGATACAATAAAACATTAATTTTGGTTGAAATATTTAAAATATTTGATATTCTATTTTTGATTAAAATATTTTTTGTTTAAGTATAATATTTTAAACTTGAAGAGTCTAAGTATTACACGCCTACAAACTTTAGGAGGTCTAAGTGTAATTTACTAACAGATATACTAACATTGACGGCAAAGGTCTAAGTGTTACGTGTGCAAACCTTTGGAGGTCAGTATATAATATTTTAAATATTAAGGAGTCTGAAAGATTAAGTAACACATCTCAGAGAATCTAAATATAATTCTCCCTAAATTCTATTTCGCCGTGACTAATGAAGCAAAGCATCAGGCCCGCCCACAAAAAATGTGCCATGTTAGAGATTTATAATATGATCCAAACCAAAGATTAAACCCATAAAAATTATGGTCAGCTGGCTCTGAGATCAATAGATGGTATTGACTATTTGAACCTCTTTGAACCTTGGAAACTAGTTTCCAAATGATTGATCTATAACTAACTAACTTCTACAATGTATATCATAAAAGTTTAAAACAACAAAATATTTTGAACTGATTGGGCCCAAAAATTCACTCCCCAAAGTCTTGACCAATCACATTAAAAAAAATATATAGAGGAAAAAAAAAAGAAGAGATCTGAATATTATCTCTTTCTCAAACACTTTTTTTTCTCATCTTCTAAACTGGTGAACTCATTAATAAATGAGTGGACACAAATTTAATTAAACATAGTTTATAAACGACATAAACTCAATTTTATACGATAATAAATGAATCGAGTATGAATTAAACATATTTTGACACGATACGATTTACACAGTATAAAAAATGACAAAGCCCAGTCCAATCCATTGATAACTCTAATCTAGTCACACACATGCATTTACATAATGCCTGAACAGAGAATTTCTTTTAATTCATGCAAATACGGCATCTAGAGAAGCTTCCCACCCAAGAAATTTAAAAAGAAAAGAAAAGTTGTACTCTAGTGGATTCAGATGCTCATTGTCTTTTTCTCTTCTCTCTCTCTCTCTCTCTCTCTCTCTTTCCGTTGAACTTGTGACTAAAATACAAAATACACAAAGGTCTAAAGCACGCATCTACGCTTTAGAAAAAAGAAAGAGTATAGAGGATCCTCTTTGGATACATCTGTGTATGCATTTGTGAAGTGAGTGTGTAGATATATATTCTTAGAATCTCCCTTGGAGTAACTCTCTTCTGACCAACTATTCTATGGATTATGTAATGTTTCAAAACTACAATCATGAGTAGAGTAGAGTAGAGAGAGAGAGAGAGAGAGAGAGAGAGAGAATATCTGCGATAATGAAATTTGTAATCATATTTGGATACATTTCATGTGGATTAGGCTCTCTATTTTTAGGTAAAAATAAATAGGCTTCTTAAAATTAAGGGTAAATTTCACTAGCACCCCCTTGAGATTGGCCTAATTATAGGGACACCCCTATAATTTCTAAAATGTCACTATCACCCCCTGTCAGATTATGTTGATTAACGGACTAAAAAAATTTGCAATTTTACTTAATTACCCTTGAAGGCTTCAATCATATTGTTTACCCTTTAACCCCTATAGTTTCTGAATTACCCTACACACCCCAATTTAATTTAGAATTTACTTTCATCAAATTAAACATCAAATTGATATTTAAATATTAATTTCATCACACTAACACTAATTTCATCAATTTAACACCAAATTAATATTTAAAATTAATTTTGTCAAATTAAAGTAATGATGAAAATAGACTGACTACCGAAGATATTCGTGTTACTTCGTCTACACTGGTTTGTACACAAATGTGTGAGTTATACTGAGTACTTAGTAAATTATAGACCACTTCAAATCTTTATTTTCGAGAGAGATGATCAATTCCGCAAATATCAATCGAAACTTGAAACATTGTATAGGTATGCAAGCAATATTTTGAGGATTCTGCTTGCTCTAAATTGGTCTAAGTAACTGGTGGGAAGGTCCACAATTTGGACAGGAGTTTGGGTTTCCTCCTCCAATCGAGCTCTATGCCTGTTGAACCACAATGCCCAAACCAACGTCAGACTTAAACACAATACATTCGGCTCCAATAGATCAATTAAGGTAAGGAACCAAGCATTGAAGGATAGATTTCCAGTTGGAGGTAGTTCGATCCCAAAGATGTTCCAGACTTCTAATCCAAAAGGGTACTTCATAAACAGGCAAGTAGATGTCTCATTTGGAGCACCACACAGGAAGCAATAGTTATCCACAGATATCTTTTTCCGTTGGAGGTTGCATAGAGTGGGGAGAACATCTTGGGCAGCATTCCAAATAAAATGCTTAATTTTCTGTGTTTGTGTACTGAAAAAGTGTACGCGTTTCGGTACCAACAGAACCGGTCAAAAGAAAGTAGTTTGACCACCAATTCTCCTCCTATAAAACATTAAAACAGTATCAATCAATAAACAAACACATTCATCACGGTGTCTCTGCAAAAGAATAGAACAAAAGAAATCGCATAAAAAAGATTATACAACTAGGTATGCAATCGCATAGTGAGCATAAAACGAACTATTTTTTTTCACTTTTTAGAACAGATACTTTATAGGACTCTTTTTTCGTTTATTTATATATATAAAAGAATCAAATAAGGGAGGAGATATGATTCTCTCTCTAAATATTTAATTACTAGAGTATTAAAATATATTATTAGCTCACTTCAATGAAATTATTCCATGTGTCTTTTGTAACCACTCCCACCATTTTTCTTAAATTACTTTAAATTTAAATTTTAAATTATCTTTCTTAATTATTTAAAATTAAAATTAAAAACATTATAGCACATTAATAAGAATCGTCTAGTAATATTAGGGTTAGTGAGGATTTAGTGGTACGGGTGATGGTAGGAAGGTATAACAAATGTTGTGCATTGCATGGGTTGTCCGCTAGTTTTTTAATATTCTAACATTAAATCACCCTTTAGATCTATTTGGTTAGAGAGAATAGAATAATAGAAAATAAAAGTGATAGAAGTGGTGTGAAAAATAAAAAATAACAATTTCATATATGTATTTAGCTAGCATGAAAAACTTGCAAGCAAGTTTTAAAAAAATTCATTCTATTGTTTGAAAGAAAAGAAAGTTGTAAGAAATTTTTTTTCAGTTGCGTACATTACCCTAAATTATATTAAATCAGTTTAAAAAAAATATATGTATTATAATTAAAATTTAAAAAATTCTAAAAAGTGACTACCAACCTAATTCTGGGACAATAATCGTCCCAAACCCAGATGACATAAATTGTGTCTACATATATTTATGAATGAGTAATGCTATTTAGATTTAAAAATCTGACATAATTTAGTGAAACCAATCAAGGGACCATAATAAATTAAATCTCAATAGCATTACTCATTTNATAAATTGTGTCTACATATATTTATGTATGAGTAATGCTATTTAGATTTAAAAATCTGACATAATTTAGTGAAACCAATCAAGAGACCATAATAAATTAGGTCTCAATAGCATTACTCATATATATATATGACGAAATTAAGTGATTACTCAATACATTTAAGTTAAAATTCAGGTGTAATTTGAAAAGAAAAATCAGTTTAGTTAAGTCACACAGACTACATCACATACTTGGATGTTCTCCGGTGGACTCTCCATGTTTAATTTTGAAGTAATTTATGTGTAGTAATTAAATTATCCCTTTAGATGTTGCAATTAAACGGTACTCCCTAGGACCTNGATATTCGTGTTACTTCGTCTACACTGGTTTGTACACAAATGTGTGAGTTATACTGAGTACTTAGTAAATTATAGACCACTTCAAATCTTTATTTTCAAGAGAGATGATCAATTCCGCAAATATTAATCGAAACTTGAAACATTGTATAGGTATGCAAGTAAGATTTTGAGGATTCTGCTTGCTCTAAATTGGTCTAAGTAACTGGTGGGAAGGTCCACAATTTGGACAGGAGTTTGGGTTTCCTCCTCCAATCGAGCTCTATGCCTGTTGAACCACAATGCCCAAACCAACGTCAGACTTAAACACAATACATTCGGCTCCAATAGATCAATTAAGGTAAGGAACCAAGCATTGAAGGATAGATTTCCAGTTGGAGGTAGTTCGATCCCAAAGATGTTCCAGACTTCTAATCCAAAAGGGTACTTCATAAACAGGCAAGTAGATGTCTCATTTGGAGCACCACACAGGAAGCAATAGTTATCCACAGATATCTTTTTCCGTTGGAGGTTGCATAGAGTGGGGAGAACATCTTGGGCAGCATTCCAAATAAAATGCTTAATTTTCTGTGTTTGTGTACTGAAAAAGTGTACGCGTTTCGGTACCAACAGAACCGGTCAAAAGAAAGTAGTTTGACCACTAATTCTCCTCCTATAAAACATTAAAACAGTATCAATCAATAAACAAACACATTCATCACGGTGTCTCTGCAAAAGAATAGAACAAAAGAAATCGCATAAAAAAGATTATACAACTAGGTATACAATCGCATAGTGAGCATAAAACGAACTATTTTTTTTCACTTTTTAGAACAGATACTTTATAGGACTCTTTTTTCGTTTATTTATATATATAAAAGAATCAAATAAGGGAGGAGATATGATTCTCTCTCTAAATATTTAATTACTAGAGTATTAAAATATATTATTAGCTCACTTCAATGAAATTATTCCATGTGTCTTTTGTAACCACTCCCACCATTTTTCTTAAATTACTTTAAATTTAAATTTTAAATTATCTTTCTTAATTATTTAAAATTAAAATTAAAATCATTTTAGCACATTAATAAGAATCGTCTAGTAATATTAAGGTTATTGAGGGTTTAGTGGTACGGGTGATGGTAGGAAGGTATAACAAATGTTGTGCATTGCATGGGTTGTCCGCTAGTTTTTTAATATTCTAACATTAAATCACCCTTCAGATCTATTTGGTTAGAGAGAATAGAATAATAGAAAATAAAAGTGATAGAAGTGGTGTGAAAAATAAAAAATTACATTTTCATATATGTATTTAACTATCATGAAAAACTTGCAAGCAAGTTTTAAAAAAATTCATTCTATTGTTTGAAAGAAAAGAAAGTTATAAGAAATTTTTTTTTCAGTTGCTTACATTACCCTAAATTATATTAAATCAATTTAAAAAACAAAAAAAAATATGTATTATAATTAAAAGTTAAAAAATTCTAAAAAGTGACTACCAACCTAATTCTGGGACAATAATCGTCCCAAACCCAGATGACATAAATTGTGTCTACATATATTTATGTATGAGTAATGCTATTTAGATTTAAAAATCTGACATAATTTAGTGAAACCAATCAAGAGACCATAATAAATTAGGTCTCAATAGCATTACTCATATATATATATGACGAAATTAAGTGATTACTCAATACATTTAAGTTAAAATTCAGGTGTAATTTGAAAAGAAAAATCAGTTTAGTTAAGTCACACAGACTACATCACATACTTGGATGTTCTCCGGTGGACTCTCCATGTTTAATTTTGAAGTAATTTATGTGTAGTAATTAAATTATCCCTTTAGATGTTGCAATTAAACGGTACTCCCTAGGACCTTATTCCTGTTAAACTAAATGCCCATGTGTTTAATTTGTGACACTAAGCTGCCTGGTTTTATTTGTGTTATTTATTCCCCGCCGGGGGAGGGGGGGGAGTGGGGGCACTGCTTTACTTTTGGTCCCACCAAATAGAAAATTTGAAAAACAAATTAATAAATAAAACATGCATGGTGTGTCACAATGAATTTCATTAATTTTATTCACGAGAAGATTTAATAAAAAAAAAAAAAGGCTATTGGATACTAATGTATTAGTGATAACGTAAAAAAATTTTAAAAAAAAATCGGTGAAACCGTACACTTAAACATAATACAAAAAAAAATTAAAAAAAATTTAAAAAAAACTGATAACACCATACGTTTAAACANAAAAAAAAAAAAAAAAAGGCTATTGGATACTAATGTATTAGTGATAACGTAAAAAAATTTTTAAAAAAAATCGGTGAAACAGTACACTTAAACATAATACAAAAAAAAATTTAAAAAAAAATTAAAAAAAAACTGATAACACCATACGTTTAAACATTAGACAAGAAAAAAATTCAAATTTTTTTTTTTAAATTAAAAAAAAAAAAACCGGTGACACCGTACACTTAAACATAAGACAAGAAAAAATTTCAATTTTTTTTTTTTAAATTAAAAAAAAAAACCGGTGACACCGTACACTTAAACATAATACAAGAAAAAAATTCAAAATAATTTTTAAAAAAAAAAAATTAAAAAAAAATCAGTGACACTCTACGCTTAAATATAATACAAGGAAAAAAATTTAAAATAATCCATTCCCAAAAAATTTTAAAAAAAAATCGATGANAAAAAAATTCAAAATTTTTTTTTAAAATTAAAAAAAAAAACCGGTGACACCGTACACTTAAACATAAGACAAGAAAAAAATTCAAATTTTTTTTTTAAATTAAAAAAAAAAAAACCGGTGACACCGTACACTTAAACATAATACAAGAAAAAAATTCAAAATAATTTTTAAAAAAAAAAATTAAAAAAAAATCAGTGACACTGTACACTTAAATATAATACAAGGAAAAAAATTTAAAATAATCCATTCCCAAAAAATTTTAAAAAAAAATCGATAACACCGTATACTTAAACATAATACAAAGAATATGTGAACTCTTTACATAGGATGACATTTGTGTCATTTTATTTTCTTGTACCATCCTTTCATTTATACTATGAAGATAATACCACCATGTAGGTGGTATTCATTAATACCATGTACAAGGTTTAACAAAAACTGTGCAAATTGAACCGGTATTACGACTCAAAAAATAATNTTTGTGTCATTTTATTTTCTTGTACCATCCTTTCATTTATACTATGAAGATAATACCATGTACAAGGTTTAACAAAAACTGTGCAAACTGAACCGGTATTACGACTCAAAAAATAGTATTTCGTATAAAATGCAAAACAAATAAGGTAATTAGTGGACCCTAGGTATTATTTCCTTCTATCCCACCCTCTAATACTATTTAATCCCCAAACAACCATGCCCTTAGGGTACAATGTGAAAAAAAAAAAATATTTGAGAGTGCAAAGCGGGAATCGAGATATTTTTCGAGGTACAAAATGCCAAAAACCGTTGTATNTAATACTATTTAATCCCCAAACAACCATGCCCTTAGGGTACAATGTGAAAAAAAAATATATATTTGAGAGTGCAAAGCGGGAATCGAGATATTTTTCGAGGTACAAAATGCCAAAAACCGTTGTGTTTCAGTTGGCATTCAACATTGTTATGTGGTAAACAAATAACAAACCACTGATTTTTTTTTCCCAGTTATCTGTACATCAATTAATAGCCAAAGAAATATGAAAAACCAAGAAAATGCAAAGCAGTCAAGCCTGCAGTTCCAAGCTTCTGAAGAAATATGAAATAATAACCAAGAAAAAGAAAAAGGAAAATGAAAATGAAAAGGAAAAACGTCATAGGTGAAGTATAATTTCATTGAATATCGCTCATCTATATAATAAAACAGGAGTGTGTTTGAATTTTATTTCAGTCATATTTTTTCCCTCAAAACTATCACCAATCACTTATCTCATCCATTATCTTTTTGTCAGACTCAAACGTCAAATCACATTACTCATTTTTATCACATATTTAATCATTTATATATTTCCTCCTTAAAAATTTCNTTTGAATTTTATTTCAGTCATATTTTTTCCCTCAAAACTATCACCAATCACTTATCTCATCTATCATCTTTTTGTCAGACTCAAACGTCAAATCACATTACTCATCTTTATCACATATTTAATCATTTATATATTTCCTCCATAAAAATTTCATCATTTATTTCTATCATATATTTAATCATTTAATATTTAATTAATTTGTAGTTAATATATTTTGAAAAAAATTAATATAATGAAATCGTTTTTTTGGACACTCAAATTTTATATTTTATCGTGTGNCTCCATAAAAATTTCATCATTTATTTCTATCATATATTTAATCATTTAATATTTGATTAATTTATAGTTAATATATTTTTAAAAAAATTAATATAGTGAAATAGATTTTTTGGACACTCAAATTTTATATTTTATCGTGTGTTCGTGCACGGGTTAAGATTAGTTATTATATATTTTGACTAGTGATACATGTTTGGTTCAAGCCCAGAACTAAATGTCTCCGAGTGGGGATAAGGTTTTCTCTCACTTACATTTGCTCCTTAAGCTCCTCCTCAAGAACAATGTGGCGAAACAGCTCCAGTTTCTTTTAGATTGACATGCCTGCAGCTGCACATAGCTTTGGCTGCTCCACTTGCTTCTCTCACTATATTGATATCCTGCAACAAAATCCCTTGACAAGGAAATCTCCGTGCAATCAAATTTAATGGCCACATCAGAAACACTAGTTCCGTTGATGTTCTGGTAGACCAACATAAAAATGCTGAATTTTGGTTGTTTGTTAGATTGAAATTCCAGAAGTTGATAAAGAAAAATTTGATATAACAGGAAGATGATATCCTGTACTGCATTCCGGGTGTCGTTTTCCAGTCAAATATATGGGTATAGAAACAACATAGTTGCAATGGATCTAAAACCAACCTCTTTAAACTCTCTCTCTCATCTTCATTTCTGTACCAACTCCATGAATACTTTTTTGGCAATGTATTTAACTTCCTCTGTTTAAAATTCCAATCTCTCCAATTCTTCATTTTTTTTTTTTTTTTCTGTTCTGTATTTTTCCCCATATTTTGCACTTTGATATTTGCTTCTTCATCAGCTATCAGAGTAAAAAGTATTAGTCTCAGCTTTCCAGGTTCTTGACCACATTTTGTCTCCCCCTCCCCCTCCCCCTCCCTTTTCCTCTTTCTCACTTTCTCTCTCTGATACAGGCACAGATGCATACAAACACAAAGGTCTAGTAGTAACTCAACCCACAATTAATGATGTTACTACACCAATGATTCAGTTGTTTAAATAAAGTTCTTTGATTTCTTGGTGTTTCTTAGATGGAGCTGTCATTTTGAGAGAAGACAGATTTTGAAATGTCCATAAGAACAGAATCTACAACAACAAGACCAATCCTCAAAAGGAAAAAACA